ATCAATCACATTTGAATAAAACTTGGTACATAAATGCTCTAGGACAATAGACAGCCTGATTAATTTTGGGTTAAAATCTGTTCATATTAATTCTCTTAATTAGCACAATAATTAATAATTTTTTGGTTTTAATCACATTTCAATGAAACTTGGTACATAGATATTACATTACGCAGATCTTATTACTTTTACATTGCGCAGACCTTATTAGTTTTACACTTAAATGTGTTCATATTAGTTACCTTATTTGCATAATTAGTTTTCTGCATTTCCATCAATATCTCAAGTTCAAGTAATTTTGAATTAATTTTTAATGTGTCTCCAATACTCTCAGCACACGGAAGTTCTTTCTAAGCTTTCTTTGATCAATGACTTGTTATTTATATATTTTAATGTTGCGGAGTAAATTAATTTTCATCACATTTTGTTGATGCGTTTTTATCCAGATCCATTTTATACAAGACTAGGGCTTGATATGAGTGAAAAAGTTGCTGAACAGTTAACACTTGGTAAAATAATTCATAGAAATGAAATCAAGGTAAGTTATAAAGTCAAGTCTGACTCTTTCTAGAACATATGGAATAAATATTATGTGTTAAAACCACAAATTATCAAGCAAAAACTTCAGATTTAAAAAAGGTGCCACAAATAACACATCTTTTACACCATGTGTCCCTGGGGGCATCATCATTGTTAGTATGGTTATTACTCTACTGTGTGTTTGGTGGCTCCATAATATTAATGTAATTTTTCAGTGGCCAAGGCTTGGACAGATGATAGCAACATCACAGTGTGATCAAGATATCAATGTGAAAATCAGCAAAGAAAAGAATGTGAAAGATATGCATGTGAGTACTTATACTATTCCACCGAGGTTGAGGTAGAATTTATAAATATTACTACATTCACTATATCTGATGACTAGTGGGTTTGAGATAGATCTTATACAAATGTAACTTACTAAAAATACTACAATTCACTAAATAAACTACCACTGTGTTTGATGTAGTTCTAACAACTTGCTAAAATTGCTATTACATGTACTTGCATATTCACTTTTGACACTAGGTAAGAAAAAGAATCCTGGATCATTTACAAAAGGCGAATAAACCATTCATTACAGAGAAGTCTAGTGATATTTTATCTCCATTGCAGAGAGAATTGTTTTCTATCATGAACAACTATCAGGTTTGTGGTGCATGCAGTTTGTGTTTTCAACATTCATGAGAACAATGTCTGTTATATATCAACCATTCAAACAGATCATGCATGTTAGCCATAAGGGTTCTCCCTGAGGGGTTTCAGGGGGACAGGTAGCCCCTCTATAATTCAGTACTCTTATTTATTTTTTGATGGACAGCTGTTTCAACAAAGTTCCAGAAAATACCCATCTTATTGAGAGACTTCTTACTTAACTAAAAGACGATAAACAGAGCACTAAGTGGCAACAGTTTTTACAATGAATTGAACATCTTGGGAGCACTAATTAGCTGAATAAAACAAAACAATGATTCCATAGTAAAATGATTTAAAGGGGAACTAAATAGAGCCTAATTTGGTGTTTGTATTTATCAAGTTATGTATATTGATTATAAATTTGAAAAAAAAAATTAAAAAAAATGATTATCTTCAGAGTTATGATGATTTAAATACGAGAAACCATAAACCTGCGAAGGACTTCCGTTTGCGCCATCTTGCCATAAAAAACGCCCTCCTGAGGCATAAACAGGAAAGGGAACAAAGCATGATGTCGCATACGACTTATTTACCACTTCCGTGTCACTGAGAATGTTCTAGAACCGTACTGTGTCTGGGTGGAATATTCTAGATTTTTTTTAGAAACTGGTTGAATAGGTAATAGACAGTGGGGGTATATATAGAGGAGTTGTTCAGCACTGAGTTCAGATCGGAGATCTCGTTGAATTGTATTGGAGTTTAAGTATCTAGTCATTGGAGTAGTGGAGTTTTACCGCGTTATTGTACTTGATGTTTGCAGAGTATAATAATACCAGTAACAGTTGAAACCTCATCTGTAGGCTCCATGTTCAAATTTTATCATCGCCGCCAGGGAAGTCTTTCTGTTACTGTTGCCATTTTGGTATTTGAACCATCACACCTGTACTATACCAATTACGGTATTATTACGTTGCGTGTGACACATGATAGCCATAGTTTGCTGGAATGGTGAATTGACTTCTAGTCTAGGTTGTTTCGACTTTTACGTTAATGTTATTTACAAGTGTATCAACATACAAACATTATGGATGTATGATTGATCAAGACAGGCATTTTTTTTTTTGTCTGTCTAATAAATGCTGTTTTCAGTACTGCACTGTGCGTGCAAATTATTTCAAAGTTTGGATGCTGGAGTATGCAATCTTGAGTTTGTAGGGTGGTGGTGGAAACATTTACGTCCATGTATTCACAAGGCTGCACTGGCAAATCATGGGACGATTGTCACAGGAACACCAAGCAGACTTCCGTGTAATTTGAAATAAAACTATCATTCAAACAAGGGGCATCGTCGACGATATACTCCCATCACTCACACTGGACTGATCTGAATCTTTACAGTACAAAAAACTGACAGTATACCGTACTTTCCTGATCATAAGCTCGGAGGCATGAACACGTAAAGGAAGGGTAAGGAATGAGCTTATACTCAAGGACCAACTCAGAAAAGATAATTTTGTTTTGGGGTTAAACACTAACCATCTTGGCAACAACGAAAAATTATCCAAACAAATTAATCGTTCACCACGCCGGTCTCGGGGAAAATAATACTTATTTTTGGAAAAAAATGCGTCATTGATTTCCATGACACTTACAATGAAGAAATAAACATGTTCATAAAAAACACACACATTTTATTACAATACGATTTACATACCGTCTGGTAGGGTCTGTGGGGAAACAGTCGAAGGCATTTATCATTATCTTCGTTTTGGTATGTTTTTGATCGTACGCAAACTCTCGACGCAAAGCATTTTTTTACCATGTCTTTTATTAACCATTCAAAATGATGTGTCGTAATGATGACATTTTCTGATTATTGACGATGATTTTTTAACGCAATGCGGAAGTGAATTACCGCAATGTTAAAATGCGATCTGTAGCACTGATTGCAACGAAAAACAAAGATTTTTTTTCCTAAAAACTGTTGATTCGCAATTTCCAAAATATAAACGACGGTTAATAGTAACCGTGGGTAAACTGAGTGTGGCGGAAAAATTTAAACACCTTTCTCGGTCGCCAACATGTCTCATCGTTCAAACCCTAGGCCTTTCATGATAGTCTCAAAGTAAACCATGCCCAATAACCAGGTACACGACTTAACGATCACATTTTTGGCTTTTCGAAAGCTACTACTCAAAGAAATATGGATTACTCCAGTATTGCAACATCGGGGTTCATCCTGAGTAAATGACAA